CCCCCCCTCTTTTTTTAACATTTCTGGCAAAAGATGCTGAAATTGGCATAAGGAATTATATCTTGCCATGTAACAATTATGTCATTTCTCTTGGCTTAGGAAATACATTCTAAGCAAAACCTACATTAACTCAATTTATAGTTAATAGTGAAAGTGCACTAAAATTGCAAAATTAAATAGCCATCTTTTCCTACTTGCTATTCAACTATCCTGCTTTTTCAGCTTAATGCTTTTAGAAAAGTGATCCAGTATCAACATGAAGAATCTGCAGCCCCTACGTCCTTCGATATGGTATCCTAAGTCTCATCCCAACATTCTTTTCCTATAGTAGAGGACGTGACTTTAGATTTCATACCTCCTTTTTCCCTCTCAAGTTCATCCTTTTTATCCTCTGATTTTAATCATCAGTTAGTTTCTGAGTTAGCTTGATACTAGCTGTGAAATACTTCTTGCAAAAATACAGTCTCTACACACCACGGACAAAAGCAGGTACACAGAATAGAAACTGACAACGACAGGAAGCATTTTCTCTCTGTGTGTGTTTTAACTTTGGAAACAATTATGTATCATGATCATGTGGAAATCACAGAATCTAGTAGTTACTCTTAGTTTACAATGTAGATAAGCTTATTAGCCTATTTATCTAAAATACGTTTGTCTGATTCATAACAATCACACGCATATACAGTTTACAAATAATCACCGTAAATGACGTGAAGATCTTCCCAACTCCCTCCATTTCCTGTGGCTGCTGTGCCAAATTACTGCAGCTGGGTAGTTTGAAACAACAGATGTGTGTCTCGCGCAGTTCAGAAGGCCAGACGTCCACGATCAAGGTGTTGGCCGTGCTGGTTCCTCCAGGAGGCTCTGAGGAAAAGCCATCCTGTGCCTCTCCCGGCTTCTGGGGGTGGCCAGCCGTCCTTGGCGTTCCTTGGCTTGCACACAGATCCCTCCAGTCTCAGCCTCATCTTCACTTTGCCTCCTTCTCTGTGCGTCATATGTCCTCTCCACTTCTTACAAGGACACTGATCGTTGAGTTTAGATAACCGTAAATTTGCTGTGAATCCAGGATGATTTCACCTACAGATGCTCAGTTAATGACATCTGCAAATATCCTATTTCCAAATAAAATCACATTCACAGGTACTGGGGGTTAGGATTTATTTCTTTTGGGGGAGTGGAGCTTGGGGGGCTAGTTCAACCCATTACACTCTGTATAGAAGGAAGTTTAATTTAAATTGGAAACAATTTGACACGTTCTGTTCTGGAAAAATGCTAATCAATCTGACTGCACCTGAAGTACAAATGTTAGAAATGAGTCTTGTTTCTGTGGACTTATTCTACCCTTGCTGTCCTGTAGCACAGTTTCATGTGGTGTACCTCTTGTCCAGACTTAACATACATTTTTAGCAGGTCGGTTACATAAATTTATTTGATTGTGTCTTTCTAGAAGGTGGACAAGGACATTGTCAACAGACTCTACCTGTCTTTTGTTCTTTATACATTGCTCAAAGAGACCAACATTTGGAGTGTGTCTGAAAAATTCAATATGCCTCGAGGATACGTGCAGAATCTTCTCACTGGAGCTGCGTCATTCTCGTCTTGTGTGTTACATTTCTGCGAGGTGATTCCACTAAATATATGATATGTACTTTGTGCATCTTCTCATTTTAACTGTTACCAAACTTATGAACCAGTTAGTATATCGCTATGTTCTCATTGTTGATTTATTCTATTATTATAAACCACTCAACATTTACTTAAAATGTATCTTTGTTTTTATCTGCTTACAAAAGTGCTATGTACGTACTCATGGTAAAGATACAAAAATTACTAAATCAACTAAAATACATAATGAATAAGTGAAAAGTACCAGTTAACCCAACTCTTAGAGCCACCATTAATAGTTCCAGGTATTTGGAATTAATTCTTTAAAACAACCTTTCTTCATTGATGTGGATTGTGTGTGAATGTCTTTCTCATGAGTGATAGAAGTGTCAAGTGTTTGGTTAGTAAGTTACCAGTATCCAACAGCTACCATGTAACTAGTTAGTACCATATTCTATTGGTTGCCACTGTGGTTTACCACGTTTGCTTCCAGTGTCAGGGAGCTACTTTAGGTTTTTACATCAAATGCTAATGGAGGGAATAAATATAATAATACAAAAATCCTTGGCTTTGGATTGAATGAGAATTATTTTAACAAATGTACCATTTTAAATATCTTTTATTTGTGCCAATTTTTAAATGTTAGCTTACACTCGCTGAGCTCATGCTAGTTTAAACAGTAGACAAAAATTATGGGTGATAAGGAGAAGCTAACCTTTAAAATGTATTTTCCTAAGTTTTCTATAATATGTTTGTTGTTCTTCACATTTAAAGATGCTTTCCTTAATATTCCTCCCCTTTGGTTTATTTAGGACTATGAAGACTTGAGCCTTATAGAATTGTTTGTGTAATAGGATCTATACATAGAACTTGAAAAACAACTATAGTTTGATGGTCGAACCTAAGAAAAATCTAGCTGACAACTTGTGCTCTCTAATTAATGTACTTTTAATATTTTAAAATGTTTTTTCTTTTAGAAAATTATATAAATGGTATAAAATAGTACATCAGTCATATTAAGGTCCTTTTAACAAGTAATAGAAAACTCATAAAAGTTTAAACAATAAGGAAAAATGATTATTTTATGTAACAGGCATACGAGAACTAAGGCAACTCCGCGGTT